GAAGGTAAACGTGTCGTGAAAATTATCGGTGCCAAAAGGAACTTTACAAATCAAACAAAAAAACCCCCCAAAGAAAAAGTAAAAAAACTTGAAAACGAACGAACAAGGGCACCCAGACCAGAACAACAGCAGAAGAAAAAAATTTAATTTAATTAATCAAAACTAACACATACTTATTATATCAAGGTTATATTTCCAATAGTGTTCAATGTAAGGTGTGGTTGGTTGGTCGGTGTTACATTGGCACGAGTTTTAAACATAGTCTCCAACACCATTCATTCATTCATTCATTCATTCATTCACTCATTGACGTCACAATAACACAACATCCATATCAATAGTGAAAGTGTTTTTATTATTATTATTTACTATAAATATGATTCATATAAAAAACTGTAACGAAACTTAATGGTCAATTTTTTTTTAAGTCTTCCTTGTTTAATAATAATAATAATAATAATAATGATAATAATAATAATAATAATAATAATAATAATTCCTTGAATTTTTGTTTTGCAATCAAAAAAAAAATTTATGTAAACTCATGCATGTACACAAATTTCTTATGTAATAATATTTTTATCAAATATATATAATTAAAAATTATGTTTTTTTTTTTTGCACAAAAAGAGAAAGTTTTAACAAATAATAATAATACTAATAATAATAATAATAATAAATATTTTAAAAGAAAATTTTTTGTTTTCTGCACTTAATAACAATTTCAAATTATTATTAATATTATTGCATTATAAATAAATAATTTTGAAAAAAAATGCAACATTTTATAAATTATATAAATAAAAATCAATTTGCAATCAAGCTAATAATAATAATAATAATAATAATAATAGTAATTAATACATGTTATTGTTTTACATGATAATAATGATGGAACCTGTTGTTTTATGACAAAGTGTTTAAATATCTGATGTGAAATGTAAGAAAGACATTTTTATAAATGGCATAGCTAGCCATGTTTATTCTTGTTAATAATAATATTTATTAGTAAATATTATTATAACATAAAATATTGATAAATAAATAAATAAAACATCATGGAGTGAATTTAGAAAAAAAAAAAAAATAAAGAACATTAAATAATGATTATTTTTATAGAGAAAGTTGTGAGCAAATTATGAACATATATGACTTGTACTAGCCCTATAGCATTTTCCATTTTTCTTTTAACAAATAAATAAATTTCTTTTATTATATTTAATTCGAACTACATTTTTTTTTTAAATTAATTTTCTTTTTTATTATATATATACCTTACACAAAATTCTTTTTTTTAAACAGGTTAGGTTAGGTATTTCATATACATTTCCTCAAATACATATGATAAAATACATTAGTTTATCATAGGGCATAATTTGTATTTAAAAACAATTTTCCTTTTGTTTTTTTAATCGTTGATGAGGTCATTTGATAATTTAAACAGTAAAGTTAATTTGTGAGAAATCAAAATGCCTTTGGCTAAATTCAATGCTACATATATATATATATATAAACCCAAACGTTTTTTTTTGTTTCTCTTTCTGCAAAAAATTAGTATACTACTTACGTGAAACGTCATTATTTATAACGGATAATTATTAATTTATTAAATTTACAAATATTTTATCGGAATAATTACGAAACAACCGAAAAAACACAAAAAAAAACACAATCGCGCATAAAATAAAACATCGTTACAAAAAAAGAATTCGCCATTCGATTTACGAATTATGACGTCATTTCAAATCGACCAATCAAATTAAAACCATAGACGTAAATTAAAAATTGTGTAAGCTGTCGTGTGATTAGAAATCGTTTTGGGTTAACGGACGTTTTGACAACGATCTATATTTTTCGTGTTGTTTGTTTTAGTTTCGAATTTTATATTAATAATTAATTTTAAACAAAAGGAAAAAAGTTTTTTTATAAAAAAAAAAAAAGTTTACTATTAAATCTTGTCAAGGTCATTTATTTATTTATTTATTTATTTTCCTCGGTGGTTACTTCGTCACTGGTTTTTTTTTTTTGACGTGATAACTTTGCCAAATGAATGGAATAAGAAAAAAAAAAAAACTCGTTTTAAATATTTTGACTAAGTTAACAATCGTTAGTTATCGTCGAGATTCCGAATGTTGTCACGGTCGAATATAAAAAATATTAATTCAATTAAAAAAGTGTTTTGTGAATTTAAAAATAAAAAATTAAAATTAATAATAATAATAATGGGATTAATACGTAGAAGGAATTTTTCATAGAGTATAAAAGGCAAAAACGGTGACGAGGATTGTTATGACGATTAACGTTTAACCGGAAAATAACGTTTAATATTCATTTGTTTTAAAATTCGAAATTATAAATAGGAAAAGAAAAAGGTGAGTGTATAATAACAAAAAAAAAAACAATAAAAATCACGCGTACCAACTTTAGAAAAAAATTTTTAATAATTTTTACGCACGTCATCGTCCATTTTGTTTTAATATTTCCCCCCGGTAAAATTATTTATTTAAAAACATTCACTTTTAGATTAACCTTTTACTTTTTTTTTTTTTTAATATTTGCGTTTATATTTTAAACGGAAACGCACGAATTAATTTTTTTACGCGGCGTATTTATTATTAAATAAAAAATAAAACAAGAAATTTTTAAAGTGAAATTTTTTTTAAATAAAAATAATAAAAATCGAACGAATTAATTATTAAATTTTTTCTCCAATATTTTTAATAAATAAAATGTTGTTGTTGTTGTTGTGGCGGTTGTTGTTTGTTGTTTGCTTTGTAGTTTGTTTTTTAAGCACTATCATTAAATTGGAAAATATTCCTTTCACTTTTATATAACGTGTCAATTTTATTTGGAAATGATCTCGACACAACATTATATTATAAATAAAACTATTTAGTCAAGGTTTGAAATTGTAGTCATTGTACGCCCGGTTATTATTCTCCTCCCCTCCCTCCTCCTCCCACCCCTCCGAATCCACCCTCTCACCCAACTACCCTTCGATAACAAATAATTAAAAAATTTAAACTTTTAATATTATTATTATTATTATTTCTACATTTTGTTTCATTTTTTTTCCTAACCGTCAGTCGTCGTACCTATGACGTCATTATGATTCATTTATATCTCAGGTAGATTTTCTTAATAACGTCCTTTAAACAAAACAAAACAAAAAACTTTTTTTTTTTTTTTTTTTTTTTTTTTTTTATGCGGAAATCTAAAAAACTTGATTTAAGATTGTAATAATAAAATTCGTTAAGTTATTATTATTATTATTATTTCGTTTTGTTTCAGATGCCACAAACGGTTCCATCAGCCAATTACGGTTCGCCATATTGCGACTATTCTGCATTCACGACAGATTTTGATCTTTCACTACTTCCGGCCTCGCCGGAAAGTCAAGTACCACTTTCACCGACAAATCTATCACCCTATTCTTACTTGTATCCATGTTCGCCGCCGCCCATGTTTTCGACAAATTTCGACGAAGATGGTATCATGTGCGATAGTTTGGGATTCGTAGACGTCAAGGGGAAAACAACGACGGATATTAAAACGGAATATGACGACGACGACGACGAGGGCGACGACGAACCCCTTCAGACTCCTTTGAAAAAAACATCAGGAGGAGGAGTAGGAGGCGGCGGTTGTTGTTTCTTCGAGGAAAACGTTAATTTTAATGATAAAACAAACGACAAACAATACGATGGATATTACGTTAAAAACGATGAGAAAACAATCGGACGAAATGAATTATTGATACCGACGACAGTACAAACAACAACAGGAAATTATTATCCGCTAACGATCAAACAAGAGCCGATGAGTTACGGGCTCGAATATGGACACCATAACAATCCTACGTCACCGTATGCCATAAAAACGGAAACGACAATCGATTTAAAGGAAGCTCTGAAAGAAACGAATTTCACGATAAAATACGAATCAAATCAATACACGACCCTTCGTAACTTATTGAAAAATCCCTGCACGGAAGAATCCCCACCCTCACCACCACACTTACCAAGACCATCACCGAATCCACCGGAAGAAACGACGGAAGTCAAAAGAGATCATCAATTATTGCGTAGCGTTTTGAGAGATACGTCATTTCAAAAGAAATTCAACATAAAATCTTTTGATTTAACAAAAGTACCTTCTTTCGACGATTCGAACCTCCTTCATAAAGATATTAAAATGGAAGAAGATGATGATAATAACGGGAGTGCGAAACAGCAACAACAGCAACAGCAGCAACAAACGACGGAAACGAATGAAATCGTTGAAGAATTAACGAGTGAAAAAATCGAACCTGTTTTCAGTTTGGCCATTGAACAAATTCGTAAAGATGTCGATAATACCTGTAACCTTTTAGGAATATCAAGCGGTGAGTAAACCTTTTTGTTTAAACATTTTAAAACAACAAAAAGGCGGTAACGGCGTTTTTCGGCGGACATGGCGTCGGCATTTTTCAATTAATCGATACAACAAACGGTTGTCGAAAAATTTTTTATTAATTTGGGGGGTGGGCTTAAATATAACCTACTCTTTTTTTGTTTGTTATTGTTCTCTCTCTCTCTCTCTCTCTAGTCAAAAAGTTTCGATTTTATTTCTCGCCAAAAAAAAAAATTCTCGGAAAATCTACCGCAACGTCTTTTTTTCTTTTTGTTTGTTTGTTATGAACAAAGACATTGAAAAGGTGATTGGACGTATAATGTCTCTTTAACATTTCAAGTTTTTTTTTTTTTTTATCTCTTTCTTTTAAAATTAAATAATAATAATAATGATAATAAAACAAGTTTCGAAGGTTTGATAAACGAACCTTGGCAAAATTTTTAATAATCGCTAATGATTTTTGCCTCATTATAATGAAAATGCTTACGGGCATCGTCGTCGTCGTCGTCCATTCTTGTTTCTTTCTTTCTTTTATTATTATTATTATTATTATTATTTGATTTAAGTTAGTGCCCCCGTGTTTTAATTGACAAGTTTGATTTTAATTGGGGAGAGAGAAAGACAGACATGACAAGAAAGAAAAAGAGAGTTAGATAGTACAGAATAGAAGAGTGAGAGAGAGAGAGAGAGAGAGAGAGAGAGACAGTACAAAAACAGAAGAGTGAGAAAAAGAGAGATAGTTCAGAGACAGAAGAAAAAGATACAGTACAGACACAGAATACAGAAACAGAAGAGAGAGAGAAAGAGAGAGAAAGATAAAATACGGACACAGAGGAGAGATAGATAGAACAGAAACAGAGAAGATGGAGAAAAAGAGAGATAGATAGAACAGAAACAAAGGAGAGAGAGAGAGAGAGAGAAAGATATAGTATAGAGACATGGGGGAGAGAGAGAGAGGCAGAAAGATATAGTATTGAGACATGAGAGAGAAAGGTAGAGAGATAGAGACAGGAGAAAGACACAGGACAAAGATACAGTACAGAAACAGAGGAGAGAAAGAAATAAAGAGAGTTAGATAGTACAAAGACATAAGAAAGAGAGAGAGAGAGAGAGAGAAATGTCAAGTGAATACATAAATTTCGTTTAACATAAAATTTTATTATTAATAAAACCTTGAGGGATTTAACTGTCCTTGCCACCGGTGGTAAAAAAAAAAAAAAAAAAAAATCTCGTTACCGGTCATAAAAATCAAATTTAAATTTAACAATTATAATAACATATCAAAAAACATTTTTTATTTATTTTTTACATTTTCCAATAATTAGTCGATTAGCATTATCATTATTATTATTATTATTATTATTTCAACGAATCGATCGCTCAAATGAATCACATAATCCGCACACAAGAAAGAAAGAAAGAAAAACCCAAACGAATCCAGTGGTACAAATACAATTCAGGGTCAACCGGTCCCCCACTTTATTTTATAAACCCATCATTATTTAATATATCCATACAATGTGTGTTTCTACGGCCTTCGTATTCATTTCAAATCCCTTTTTTTGTGTCCAGTTTTTGTCTTAACAACAAAATCAAACACCGATCATCATGGCTGCCACCACCACCACCGCCACCGCCGCCATTATTTTAACAAACGTAACATATTTTTTTTTTGTTTGTTTGTTGGAAAAATCATTATTTAATAACGCTAACGGTTAAATTATATTATTATTACCTTCGAGGGAAGGGCGGAGGAGGGGGAGGTACAAGTGATCCCTTTTAATAAAAAAAAAATTATTTAAAATTTTATCCGCCGACGGGTTAAAAAAAATTTTTAAAAATTTACTCGTTTTAAATTTACCCCCTGGCTCATAACGTTATTTAACAAGTACATAGAGTAAGAAATAAAATCGATTCATAGAGTAAAAAAAAAAAAAATGTTGTAATTTTAATAAATATTTATAGAAATAAATAAATAAATCGAACGAGAGAGAGAGAGAGAGAGAGAAAATTATTATTATTTTCCAAAGGACAAATTAAAAAAAAAAAACAAGTTTTCCTTACTGTACGCAAAAGTTAAATACACGACAACGAAACTACAACCACGACGACAACAACAACGACTCTGTAGCAAATGTTATCCACCACAACACGTTTTAATACCCGTTTTTCTTATTATTATTATTATTATTATTATTATCATTAATATTTAAAATCGTAAAATTTACTGTTTTAACAAAATAATAAAATGATTTACGACGTAATATAAAAAAAATTAATGTCGGACACGACGACGACGTGGCGTAAAATTTATTTTTTAAAATTTAAAACGAATTCGATAATACAAAAGAATCGATTTACGATTATTTCGATTTATCGAAATTTAATTTTTGACACTGCCTATCCCCCTCCCCCCGGCTTTTTTTTTATATGCGTAATAAAAAATAAATATTTACTTACGCGGATAAAATATCATTCGTTACGTAATCACATCCTTTTTTTTCTGTCTGGCGTCCATTTTGAACGTGTCACGTTGTTTTTACTCTATAATAAAAAAATCCGTTGAAAGTTTAGAGTGTTCCAATAGAAGAAAACACCTGAAACGATAAAAATAATAACAATTATTTACTCGGTTTACAATTTTGTTCAGATAAACGGTTTTTGGATTTGTTCAGACGAATAGTTTAATTAATAATTTTTTTTTTTTGTTTACAGATCCGACACAATGGACCGAAGATGATGTTAAAGCATGGCTTATATGGACAATAAGACAATATTCACTTCCGATGATTGATACAAATTGTTTTAAAATGGACGGCGTGACATTTTGTCAATTAACGGAAAATGATTTTCAACAGAGAGCACCCCAGGTGAGAGAGATGAAAATTTTTTTTCTTTTTCCATTTTCCATTTTTTTTTTCCAAAATCTAAATCTTCTTTATCATGTTGTTTAAAAAATAAACGACCTTGCTATATCGCCAACGAAACCCGTCGCCGTCGTGTATTTAAAAAAAAACAAAAATGGCCGCCGCCTTGTATAAGTTATGTAGTCCACAACTTTCTCTCTAACCTTTCTCCCAAACCAAGGTCAACGTTTCGGTTTCGGTATTTTTTTTTAATGTCCAAACGAATCTTCGTGGTGGTACTCATTCATCAATCATTTCATCCCCTCCCCCTTCTACCTCCCTATCTATCTACTTCCACGACAAGTTGTTTTTTAAATTCGATTTTTATTTGTTGTTTACAAAAAATGATTTCGAACAAAATTAACGCCGTTTTTTTTCGTTCATGCGCGGATCGAATGATTCGTTAAGTATGTCATCAACTATTATCATTATTATCATCGTTAATTCGAGTTTAAAAAAATTTTGTAAAGTGACCAGTTGAATGTTAATCCAACCACTACCACCATCACCGTCACCATCACCGTCACCATCACCATCACCATCACCATCACTACCACCATCACCATCACCATCACCATCACTACCACCATCACCATCACCATCATCATCATCACCACCATCACCATCACCATCATCATCCCTGTAAAATTAACAATAGATTTTAACATTTTTGAAAAATGTGACGACGCATGCGCCACACCTGTTTTCTTTCTTTATCATTACATTATCAATTCCAATCACTTATCATAAACCGTTATTTAAATTTTTTTTTTTTTTTTTACAGAGTTCCAGCACTCTCCATGCACATTTAGAAATATGGAAAGCAGCAGGGAATTGTGGTGATTGTTCTTCTCCTCCCTCTCTTCCTCTTCCTCCTCCTTCATCTTCTTCTTCTTCGACAATGATAATTCCGAATCAAGATCTCAGCACTGTACAATGGTCACCAACGATGCATTCAAGCGGTTCCAGCACTGGAGGAGATTTATCCGACGGTAATTATTATTATATAAATAAATAAATAAATAAATAAAACATTTTAAGTAGGAAAATACAAAATTAAAATGTCGGTTGTTCTGGTTGTTCTTGTTGTTGTTGTTGTTGGTATAATGCCAGAAAAATTTATTTAAAAAAAAAATATCCCTTTCGGCTTTTCGATTTATTATTACCATGTTCGATTTGGCTGAACCTACAATTTATTATTATTATTATTATTATTATTTTACATATCTGGGCCAAACGTTTGAAAATCACGAAAAAAAAAAAAAACAAAAACAAAATAAAATTCATTAATCATTTCTTTTTTTTTTTTTATTTATTAATTTTTTTTTTAAATTCGAGTTTTTTTTTTACAAAATGGCGGACGCGATATAAAAACGTTAATGAATTTTAATTGTTTATTATTATTATTATTACAACGACCAGGTGGTATTCGCGAGTTATTATTTAAAAAAAATAAGCCACGGTCAACATGGCCGTAATTAATTAATAATAATAATAATAATAATTGGTACGATAAAAAAAAAGTGGTAGAAGAAAATTAAAAAAAAATTTTTTTTTCCAGACGATGATGAAGATATGGATTATTCAACGTCATCATCATCACCACCACCACCCCCATCATCGTCGAATAAATATTTAATGAAAGATAATAATCAGACGATAAAAACGACGACGGCAAAGACAACTTCCGGTACGCATATACATTTATGGCAATTTTTAAAAGAATTATTATCGTGTCCGCAATCCCACGGGAGTTGCATAAGATGGTTGGATCGTGAAAAGGGAGTTTTTAAAATAGAAGATTCCGTACGTGTCGCTAGACTTTGGGGTAAGAGAAAAAATCGTCCGGCAATGAATTACGATAAGTTATCAAGATCCATAAGACAATATTATAAAAAGGGTATAATGAAAAAAACGGAAAGATCTCAAAGGCTCGTTTATCAATTTTGTCATCCATATTGTTTATAAACAAAAACAAAAAAATTTTTTTTTACCCCAAAATGTAAATAAATAACCCTTATTATTATTATTATTATTATTAATATTTTCTACCCGATTTTTACCCTTGGGTGGAAAATAAAGTGTATGCCATATTATATAAGGCAAAAAAAAATAATTATATATTTATATTATTATTATTATTATTTTTAGAAAGGTAATTTTCTAAAATAATTTTTTTTTTTAATTTATATTGTGTTTGTTTGTGTTTGTTTGTTTGTTTTATATACGTTTTACCGTAACGTTATACGTTTTTTTCGTAAATAATCCAAATTAAAATCGTCGTTTGTCGTTTGTTTTCAAAATGGCGGCGATTCCGATTAAATTTTTCATTTATTTATATATAATTCTGATGCTCAGAATAAATTTATTTATTTATTTATTTATTCTTCGATGCTCGAATTATATTATTATAATATGAGAGTATATATTATAATAATAATAATGATAATGATATAATCGGTAAATAATGGATTATTATTATTTTTTTATTTTTTTAATTAAAAAAATAAAAAAAAATGGCGGAAAAACGTTAAACGTTCGGTGATTTTTATCCCATATATCCATGATATATAATATATGTAAGTTCTGTGAACGAATTAAAAAATTATGTATACATAAAAATAGTTATTAAAAAATAAATAAATAAATAAGTTTATTTTTTTTCTATACGTCATCATGACGTCATATTAATTAATTAGCTTTTAATTATGTTTAGTTTTTAAATAAAGTTTTCGCACGTGCGAAATTTTCTTATTATGTACATATTTTACATTATTAACTTTTGTTATTATTATTATCATAATTTTTTTTCTTTTCTTTAATAAATTTATTATTATTATTATTATTGGCTTTTTTTCCTTATGTTTTTTCTTATCCTTTTTTTTTATTATTATTAATAATTTTTTTTTGTTCGCGTTGTTGTTGTTGTTTGTCGAGTTATATTTTATGATTTGAAATATTGTTGTTTGTTAGAATGTTTGTTTCAAGGCGAAACGTGTTTATTATTATTATTATTATTATTATTATTATTATTATTATTATTATTATTATTACTCGAGTTATAAAAATGGTGCTAATGAATTTAAAAGTAATTTTTTTTATTTTACGTAGAAATACTAAAGAGAGAGAAAAAATTTTAATTGTTACTTTGTTGTTTTAATAATGTCGCAAATTTACGACGGCCTCGACATTTTTATTTATTATTATTATTATTATTATTTTAACTTATGACACTTAAAAATAATAGTAAAAGTAGTAAAAAATAAATAAATAAATAACGTTGGTAAAAAATAAACCGTTATGATAATGACGACGTGAATTCATCATTTACGACAGCGCCATCTTTTAAATAAAAAAACGTACTAATAAACGTAACGGAGAACGACATCTATTGTAATTGAAACGAAACTAAATGTATAAACTGTTTTATCGTATATATGTATACATATTTCGACCCGCCATAATTAATTTTGTAAAGTTATTTATTAACGAACGAAAAAAAATATTCTCACTCGTCCGTGGTAAAAAAAAAAAAAAAAATAATAATAATAATAATATTGAAGAACGTTGAAATATATATAAATATATATATTTTTCTATTCATATTTTAAATTAGTTAGGTCATCGATGTGTGCATAGCAACGGTTACCGGGTAATAATAATAATAATAATAATAAAAAGTATAAAAACAAAATTGATGATGTAAATGAATTTAGTTTAGTTTACATTAAATAAATTAATAAAAAGTTTTGTTGTTTTTGTTTTTGTTTACCTTATATAAATATTTGTTTACTGTAAATAAAATAAATAAACAATATGGAAAAAAGTTTAAGTCATAGAGAAAGAAAAAAGAAAAAAAATTCGGAGGGATTTGACAACGAAACCGAATCGAATTTAATAGAAAACGTCGAACGAAAAAAAGAATCAAATACTCAAAGTTGTCATAAATTGTTCAGACGTGACACATATGTATTGATCAAAGCAAAAAGTGATTCGAACGTTGTTTCTTCTCTAAGTAACAGTGACGAATTAAATGTTTCAAGTGTTGAAAGTTTTCTTAACAAAGACAAAGATGATGTGAGTGGTTTAACTTATAACGTAAATGATGATTCTAAACATGATACATTCAATGTGGAAAAATCTAAAGGTGAGTTGGGGATTCTCCACAATTTTAATACGAATCTGTTATAAAGTTGAAACATTTGTTAGGTGGTCAAGATGAGAGACCTGTACCAGCTCCAAGAAGGATAAAATTTACAAATATAACAGAAAAAACATCATCTGATACTGATAGAGATGTTGCCGAAATAGATTTGAATGAAATTCGTGTCAAATCTGATACTGATTCAAAATCACAAAAAATAAATTCGAATGCATCACAAAGTGTGACACCAGTGCCAAAACCACGTAAAAAAAAATTACAAATTGTTAATAACATCATTGACAAACCTTTACAACCTTCTGTGACTTCTTCGAATAATCAAAAACACTCATCCACCAAAGATGAAGCGGCAGGAACATCAGCAGAAGAAGTTAAAATCCATGACGTTGTAATAAATAAATTAGAAGAAAAAGATGACAAATCAGAAATTCCATTGATTGATAATTTAAAACATGAATATGTATTAAAATCTGAAAAAGCAATTGAAGAAAAATTAAAAAAAGAAAAAAAACTCAAAATATCTGATTTGATTGATAAAAAGAAAAAGAAAAAATTAAATAAAAAAAAAAAACTTACATCTTTGATGAAATTAGAAAAGGGTAAAATTCCAAAAATATCATTCATATCAAAAGATTCAAATGTAAAAAATGAAATTGATGACCAAAATGATGACAATGATGATGATGACAATAATGATTTTCAAATGGATTCACCAAGGTATCCATTATCTGCTGAAAATGGACGAATTTACGTTCAAAATAAATATGGTTTTTCACTAATGAAAAGAGATCAAGTTATAAATTCTGAAAATGATAAAGACAAAAATGATGATGGAAACAAGTAAGTAATTTATATATAATTTATACGTACCTTCCACGAGATCAACAACACAAAAACTGATTCATTTCGTTAATCCAGTATCCCGATGGCTTTTCTTTTTATCGCATATTCAAAATGGCTGATTTAAGCAAAATTTTACATAAATAAACAAACACCAAACGTAAAAAAAAACAACCTTATTCGCATAAATTTATCTTTTAGATTAACAAACATGGACGAATCAACTGTTAAAACCGCCATTTTATTTCAAAAATACTGGTCTAGAATGATGATGTTCTTCCACGGTATTCTCGCGGGATTCGCCTGCTGCCACGCGCTTATCGTAACCGTTATTATTTTACGCTTGGCTTATAATCCAACGGATTTTATTAATTTTTATTCAAATCTTTCATTGAAAATTCATTATATTTTTTACATTTTAACGACTTTTAGCATAGTTTCTTGTTTCGACAGGTATGTACATCATTATTATTATCGATTTACCCATTGATTTACTTAAATAATAACAAATTTTATGATTTTTCGTTTGTTTACCATTAGAATTGACATTGGTCACATAAATAAAAAACATTGGGAAACAGCATGGAAAGTTCCATCTATGTGGAGCATACTTTGCGTTTATCTAGCAAGTTTTTTATTAACTTTTATAAATCATAAAACGGAAACCAGGTTTGATTCGTACCTGTACATGACTGAAAATGATACAGATGCTAAAATATGGAACACAAGAGTAAATACATTTTACAAACCATCCCCTCTCTCTCTCTAAATGCATAATATTTATGATATTAAATGTAGATTTATATATTGTTATTATTATTATTATTATTTATATTTTCAGGTACCGAATGAAATACAAGTAACTGTACTCACGTGGTTTCATATTGTATGGGCACGAGATATCCTATTGATTGTTGCATGGCTTATTATATCAATGACTAAATTTTCTGATTTTTTATGTGGACATCTTAACAATATGAAAAAATATGCTCAGATTAATAATTCAGATAATGAAAAAAATTAATAATAATAATTATGTAAGTAAGTAAAATAAGTACAAAAAACAATCGTTTGTTTTATTCTTTTGTTTGTTTGTTTGTTAAGAGTGAAAACAAAAGAAGCTGCTGCTTATAGGTTAATTTATAAAAAATGTAATATAATTCAAGTCATTATTATTATTATTATTATTATTATTATTATTATTATTATTATTATTATTATTCATGTGTTGTGCCTTACTTCTTGTTTTGCTTAAGTTTCTCTTTTTTTTCTACATCATAATCAGTTCTCTTTGTGTAAGAATTTCTTATAATAATAATAATAATAATAATAATGAATTTCCTCTGTGATTTTTAATAAAAAAATTTTTTTTGTTTTTAAGGGATGAATTATTTGAAATAAGACAAAGTCTATCACGGATATCATTTGATAAGAGGGAGAGAGATAGAGAGAGAGGAACGTCTCAACGAACTTCAAACAAAAAGTTAGTATTAATAATAATAATAATAATAATTTAAAACCGTTTGAAAAAAGATTACGAATAGTTTTTAAAATATTATCATTATTATTATTACTACGATGACGATAGTACAATTAATGACGTAAACAAATTCTTATCAGTTAAATGATAAGCTATGTATAAAGACTGGAAAGGAAAAATTCCAGTTAAATTGTAACGAAAAAATTAAATTGAATTAACTGGAACAATTTTAATTCTTCTCACGGTACGAAAAGGACAGAGAAAAATTTTAAATTTTTAATAATAATTGGAATTAATTAGATTCTTCCCTTCCCCCTCCTTCTCTACCCTCCCTTCCTCCCTCCCTCTCACGGATCGAAACGTTAAAATCGTGGGGAGAAGGATTCACAAACTAGGAAAAATAATATTTAAAAAATTGCATAAACACATGTTTTATTTTAACGAGAGGGGGCGCAGGGGGCGGAGCGGAGCGGGGAAGGAAAGAGGGCGTTCGTTTCTAAAAAACTTTTACAATTAATTTTCCCACGAATGTTTTTTAACTAAAACAGCGGGGGGGAGGCACGTTACTTGTTTGTTGTGTTTTTTATATACGGGATTTTATTATAATTTTATACAATTCATCAATGATTTCATTTCATCGTCATTTCCGGTTATCGATAATTAAAACGTAAATCAACCGAATCGAAAGATGGAGGAAAAAAAAGGAAAAAATTTTTTTTTAGGATAAAAATCTTTAAAAATTCAAAGAAAGCCGAAAAGGTAAAAAAAACCCGCAGCCCACGCTGATTCTTTCCAGCCTCCTCCCTTCCCTCCCACCCTCCCCCCTTCACACTTGTTTCATTCATTCAATCTCAATTATTTATAAAAAAAAAAATGAATTAAAATTTTAAATAAAAAATTATTATTATTATTTTTAAAAAATTTTACATAACGACCACGTTCGATCGATCGAACGTTTCTGTACAATATAAAAAAAATAATAATTCCCGCCGAGAATGATTTCGATGTATCGATCGATATATCGATATATCGATCAAGGTCTCGTTTCTTCTTTGTTTTTCAATTTAATGTAAAGGCAAAAACTGAAAATGACTCCGAATATTTGCAAAACGCATATTCCCAAACCCACGGAACTTATTATGACCAAATGAGATTTGACTTCTTTCGATAGTTGATTCAAACAACCCTGGAAAAAAGAAAAAGAAAAAAATAGAAAAATCAAACTCTGGATTCTCCAGGGCCGCTTAACACGTGACGTTAAAAAAAAGAAAAAAAATTTCTTTTAGAAAATGTCACGAATCAGTTTTAAAATGAAATTTAATATAAATAAATAAATTAGAAAAACTTGGCAAAAAGATTTTTTTTGGGGGGGGTGGAGGAGGGGGAGTGCGCGTGCGCGCGCACCCGAGGGGGGCCCCCGGTGCGAGAGGCTCCCACACTGGCTCCCGCCCAAAAAAAAAAAAAAAAAAATATATCGACTTGCAAAATAGACGAAATAGTACAAGATGATGATGATGATAATAAGTTCCAAGTCCCCTTGGGTTCGGTTAAATTTCGTTATTTGACCCCCCCACTCCCACTTCGCCGTTCGTCACATACGCGACGCTTTGCGGGCGTTCGCCTCACACGCACTCACACACTCACCTTGTATTGTATGTTGCTCGGATGATCGCGAACTCCGCAATTGAGCGATGGGGTTTTACAACAGGAATCCGGAACTAAATTATTTGATGTTTTTCTGCTTTGGTGAAACCATTTGGAATATCTCCAGTCTTCGAATCGAACGGCTCCGCAACATTTAAACTGCACAACAAAAATAATAATAATAATAATAATAATAATAAAATTTTACTCGTGTAAAAACATATGCGATGGGAACGCCCCCCTTTCATTCACGATTCCAGTCCGCGTTTGTTGATAATAATAATAATAATTCATAAAACTCGTTCGAATTTTCCTTTTATTATTATTATTATTATTATTATCATCATCATAGTTAATCTTTTTTAAATTTTCAACGGCGAATTTATTACGTTTTGATATTAATGGAGTGTGATTTAATTTATGTTAATTATTTTCTCCAGCCTGGAGTCAAAAAAAATATCGTTTTATTATTATTATTCATTTATAAGTTTTTTACACTTGTTTAACGCATGAGTGAACGCGTATCTCTCTCTCTCTCTCTCTCTCTCTCTCTCTCTCTCTTTTCATTTAAATCGAACATTCCAGGAAAAAAAAATCACATTTTGTAAAAATTAACTGGAAGCTAACTTATCGAAATATGCAAATTTGTTTGTTGTTGTTGTTGTTGCTCGCTTCCGGTATTAAAAATTTTTTTGTTATTTACTAATCGTTCGTGAGTTAATTAACTGGAAAAATACGATTGTAGTACCCCTCCCCCCTTCTCACTCCCCCCTCGATTTTCTACCTGGAGAACGACGAATACTCCCTCCTTTTGATAGTACCTGGAAATTGTTTTAAAAAATTACCAATATTTGGATTATTCCAGAAAGCGTATTTTAAAATTTTTTTTTTCTCCAGCGAACGATCGAAAATTTTTTTGTTTGTTTGTTTGTTTGTTTACCCACCAAGTAGATCAACAATCACGTAATTAATGTAATTTTCTACGAGACCGGTTTTGCCATTGTCGTCGTTACGTACGCGGCAAAATAACAAAACAACAAACTCGACTCGTTTGTTCGAATGGCTTTAAGACAGACATCACCAACCACACGGTCGCGAGATGTTTGTTTGTTTGTTTGTTCTATAGAACAAACGAAAATTCCACGGGGTAAACAAAAAATAAGATGATGTAGATAAATCCAGTTAGGAAAAAAAAAAAAAAAAACTGGAACTCGACTGGAATTTTTTCATTCTTCGTCCCATGCACCGCACACGCATTCTTATCATAATATTATTATTATTATCATCATTATTATTATTATTATCAACAATTAAAAAACTCTCGCGATTAATATAAAAATAAATAAGAATTTTTTTAAATTCTGGAAATGTTCGACGTATATAAAAAAAAAAACTCGATATCTCTCTTTAAAAAAAATACGTGGAAGAAGAAAATTTTAATCACGTGACATAAAATAAAACTCGTCGCTCACCTCTATTTGCATGTCGTCTATGGCTTTCGTTTTATCCGCATCTATTTTGTAATTATCCAAAAAAGTCGAATTCAAATTCAATTTCAATTCTGCTTCCACTTGTTCTTCGTATATGTATGCCAAAGTTCCGACCATGGCCTCCAGTAAAAATATAAACAATAATAAAAACGTGTACTGAAAACAAACAAACAAACAAATAAATAAATTATTAATTAATTAATTAAAATGATTGATTGTTTATTATTGTTATCATCGCATTGTGATTTTTATCAAAACCACGTGCGAATACACGTGTGAGGGGAGGGGGAAATAATAAGAAGAAAAAACACGGAATTTTAGTGTTTAGCTTACAGCGTGTTTGTTATAAATAAAATCAAAGTGAAAATTTATAAAAATTATGTTTAGCTTACGGAAGGATTTTTTCATCCTTCCCCCTCGGTCGTAAGGAACCGAATTACGAGGAGAGGGGAAAAATGGGGGGCACTACGGATTTGAAATTTTGGAAAAATTTCCCAAAAAAAGGGGGGACGACAAAGGAAGAATAAAAAAAACGATTTAAATATTTAAAAAAAATTTTTTTTTTTTGTTTTCGTATAACCTTGAATATAAATACACGTGACGTTTGTGACGAGTGTACATGAAACAAATTCCAGAAACAAGATTACTGTGTCAGAATGTATGGAGAGTGGTGGAGAGAAGAGGGGAGGAGGAGAGAGAAAGAGATAGGGAGAAAAATGAAAGAATGCAATCATCTTGATGAACAAACCAAATTTTTTTTTTGAAAACATTCCAGAAGGTTTTACATAAACGTCCCTGTTTACTAAAACTGAATGAAATTAATTTTAATTGTTAATTAAAAAAAATAATAATAATGATGATGATGATGATGATGATAACAATCGAGGAAAAGTAACAGGAAGTTATTATATACGACAAACGATAAAAAAAAAAAAATTAAATAATAATTATTTTGTTTTTTAAATGATAAAAATTATCAACGGAGTCGTACAAACGACGAAAACAACAAACAAACAAATACGAACAAACCGGAAACAGAAGTTGATTCGATGATTACTACCCGAAGACAAAGTCCGAAAAATAAAATCGATAAGTCGTGTAAATAGTTATAAATATCGATGGGAAAAATTTCCAGAATGCGGAAAGACAAAAACGGAAATGGTTACCGTCGTCGTGAAAGCAGCGGCAGCAAACGAAATATTACAAAACTTACGACGGTTTAAATTCCACAACAACAGGAAAAGGGATGCTGGAAGGGGTTATAAAAACACGCGAAATTAATTCTTCCGTTCCTGTCATTCTCTACCTTATCCAGGTTTTAATTTTCGGGAATCGAAATCTGGAATATTTTCCAGGCGATAAAAAACAAATTAATTTTATCTATCGTTAAGTATCACCTTCACCGCCATTTTTACTAATATAAATCCGATTTTCTTTTTCTTTTTTTTTTTCAAATTATTTTTATTGTTTTTTTGCGTGACTTTTCTTTTTCTTAAATAAAAGCTTCCGTTTCTTTTT